TTACTAGTGGTTTCTGATAAGCTAAATCAGTTTCATGTTGCAGGTGGATATAGAGGGAGATAAAAAAGATGGGTCTAATGGCCGATTTGATATGATTTGCAATGCACGTCTACCAAGAGGACTTGATCCCCATTCAGTTCCATCTGTCGAGCTTGCTGCTTCTTTGGGGTACTCTTTTTTCACTTCAGATACATATCCACACATTTTTTTACGGTGTCATTACAGTTATGATCTCCAAGTTTACACCTGAGATTCAAATCCAGCATCCAGTTGTTCTTATATCACAATCTCGTCATACTCAGCCTTCTATTGGCCCTACCCTCAAGATTCTGGAAAAAACTGAAGTTAGCTAATCATCATTGTTTTGATTTCCCCACCTTCCCCCTATCGGAGATTCCATTTTTTGGTTAATGTTTTTAGTTCAGTTAAAGTCACTCTTGAGGAAAATTTTAAGTGATTGGCCTATTATACACAGACCAATCTTTCACTATATTATTCTATCACTGAAATCATGGGCGTGTAGCCTTATCTCTGTTTGGAGCTGTAATTATTGCTATTTTCATTAAAATGGCTATATAACTTCTATTTATCAAACCAAAGTTTAAATTTTAGGATCAACAAGGGGTAGTACAAGAATATTCACCAATTGTCCATTGACTACGCCTTTCGGTCTGATCTTATCCTTAGGTTTTCGGGGCATTGGATTCTCACCAATGTTTGCATTACTCAAGCCGACATTCTCGCTTACGCTTCGTCCACTACCACTTGCGTGGGTACTTCTCTCTGAGGCAGAACTCACCCATACCTATGTATTCTTACATCCCATACATATTTTTGCGGAGACGTGTGTTTTTTGGTAGACAGTTGCCCGTGCCTGGTCATTGCGACCCCCTTTGTGAGGAGGCACCTATTCTTCCGAAGTTTTGGAGCTATTTTGTCGAGTTCCTTAGAGAGAGTTGTCTCGCACCCTTATGTGTTCTCTACCTACCAACCTGTGTCAGTTTGATACAAATGTCAATGTCTTGTACCTTAGCTAATGGCTAAACTTTGACAAAGTGGAACCATTTTTCCAGTCTAAATGATTTCCTATGCCATGGATCAAATGAGTAGGAAGAGCAAAAAATAGTGTTAGATCAAGGAAAGATGAAATAAATTATCAGAGTAATTGGTTTCACTTACAGATTTGTTACCTTCTATTCTTATAGGTTATTATTTGGTTATCTTTCATCTAATTAAATCTTGTAATCTCATGTACAATTATCTTTTCTAACTTCTGAGCTAAAACTTATATTGCCTTGTCTCATGGCCATCTTATTGTTAATCCAGTGCTTCGTCGTTTTCTATATTTCCATTGCAATAACTGCACAATACAAACGACATGAGAATAAATAATGTGTTTCTGATAAACAACTTATGAAGTCACCAGATGTTTTGTAATTATGGAAAGTAAATGCTAAATATGAATGTAAGTGTTATGATGATAAAGGTTTCATACGATTTTTCAACCAGGATGTTTTACATTGCTCGATATAGGCTGAAAAGTTGTCTAGACCTCTGAATTTAAGGTAGAGATGTATTTAGCTGGAGATGCTCTTGTCAAGATTATTTTGAAACATTAGCCTTACAAAGGAACTCAACTATAGATACTTGATGATTATCATATGTCATATGTAAAAAGTTGCTATAATGGATTTTATAGTTGTGTGGCCTGTTATTTCATTATCTGCGTATCCTTTTTTTTCAAATAACAAAATTGGGGTGATCCCAAGTACACTGTTTATATGTGTTTGTCATATTCTATGCAGTTAGTCCATATTTGCTTTATTTAGCCTGTGATCTTAATTGACAATATGAAGTGATCCCAAGTTGTCTTTGTCTGTGCTTTTCTTTTTCTATGTAGATAGTCCATATTTTCTTTAGTTACCTTGTGTCCTTCACCAACTGTTGACCTTTAACGATTGGAAAACAGGTATATGGTGCAGCTTCTGAATCTTGTTGTTCACAATGTCGGCGCTCCTGCACTCCATAACTCTGGTTTTGCGGTAACTTCTGTTTCATGTTGCATATTGTTCACATGCATTATGACTCGAGTTTTTTTTTGAGTTCTTTACATACTATTATTGTTTTCATTTTTTTTTTTGGATTTTGTGAAAAAAATTCCTTCAATTGTTTCACAATTTTCTCGTGCTCTATGTAGTGAATGTGGCATTTAAAACCTTAAGGAAACTAGAACCAGCGCTTTCATGTTGTATTTGAGAGATTTTTTTATAGGTCCTCATATTAATATTTCAATGATTACATTTATTATGTTAGTATTGTGGATATTTTTAGAGTATCCAACTCAAAATCAATTGGTAATGTCTGAAGAAGCCCTCAAAGAATATAAACCAACCTTGGTAGTCCTAATTATTTGATGTGGGATACAAGCTCTCTTTACACCCTCCCAAATGCAAACCCCGGCTTGCACATTGGATTAACAAATAAACAAACAACCATGCATATTAGAAATTCAAATGGGTAAGAGACTTAGCCCACTGACCTTCCAAGGCCTAGCTCTAATACTATGTTAGAGTATTCAACCTAAAACCAATTGGTCATATGTGGAGTGACCCCTCAAATATATTAACCAATGGTCCTAATTATTCAATGTGGGTACATGTTCTCTTTATAGATATGACCATGTGAAGTTCTTTTTTTTGCATGTTTTGGTGCATCAGTGAGACTTTCCTTATGTGTCTTCTTACTGTTGTTTCAGGGTTCATGCTCGCGAATATGGCAACGAGATTCTTATTGGGATGCCCGCCCCTCTTCCAGAAGGTATTTTTGGGTTTTGACAGGACATATGATGACATGCATGTATCAACTGCATCATATTGAAGTTAGTTTATTCCATGCAGCAATGAATATCCACTTTTCATACCACGGCAGAATTATTGCTCTACCAGCACCGAAACTTCATGGTCTGAAAGAAGCTCAAGTAATTTTGGTGTAGCTTCAATGGAATCAGAAAGGAAGCCCCGTTTGGATTCTTCTCGTAGTAGTAGCTTCAGTTTTTCTTCTGCTTCACCTCATTCTGTTGAAACGCACATGGACCTGCAGAAAGGGATTTCACTTCTCAAGAAAAGTGTGGCATGCATAACATCATTCTGTTACAACTCCTTATATCTAGATGTTCCCCCCGAGGCGTCTACCTTTGAAGCCTTTGCAAAGTTGTTAGCAACTCTATCGTCTTCCAGGGAGGTTCGATCGATTTTTTCCTTGAAGATGGCTTCTTCAAGGTATTGACTTTTTTTAGCTCTTGGATAGTTGTTCCCTGCATTGTTATCTTAGCTGGACTATGCACACTTTGTGTAGGAATAGCAAGTCCTACTAACCTTGGGCAATATTTCAAGTTCTGAGTGGTATTACCTTCGGAACTAAATCTAAGAAAAATCTAATTTAATACTTGCCAATTGTTGAGTTTGAGTTGGCCTGTAATTTCTCTATCGTGTGGCTCATTTTTAAGCCATGTCTTGCTGCCAGCAGATGAGGAATACACAGGTGTTTTAAAGGTAGAAACAAAGTGGCTTAGACAAATCTTTTTTATCGATAACCTCAGACCAGTCAATCGAATATGGAGTGATACGTAATCAATCGCCCACTACTTGAAAACGGCTCTTCTGCCCAGAAACNGGGCTTGGACAAATCTTTTTTATCGATAACCTCAGACCAATCAATCGAATATGGATTGATACGTAATCAATCGCCCACTACTTGAAAACGGCTCTTCTGCCCAGAAACGAAATGTTCCTGTAAATTCTTGCTCCCATTGGACCATTTGTATCTATATGCATTAGGTTCCTGATTCTAATTTAGTTATTATCCTCTGAGAACATTTACTGTAGTTCCTGAATAGTTGCTAGATGTGCAACCTATAGTTGGCATGTTTCTGTCATCTATTCCAAGTCATAGTTTGGTATGGGAAATCTTAGATCTATTGGCATTTGGCCAGCCAAGGGATCGTCAAATAGGTAATGAAAGTGAGGCCTACCAAGAGACATAAAGAAATAAGTTAAGGAGTATAACATGTTAGCTACTTTTTGTCTATTATTTGAATACTCAAAAGTCACTGAAAATAATTTGGTGGTAATAACTATTCAAAGTTATTTTCGAGTTAGATAGATTTTCTGAAGTTATTTAATTTTTTTCTGTTCTTTGAAGCCTTTTGGTTGGTTGTTGGTTTTTGACCTTGAAACCTTTTTTGCATCTGTCACTTCAAGGATTCTGAAATATATATATTTAACATAAATATCTTCTTTTCTTTCAAGAGTCGGCCTATTAGCGTGTTTCTTTTTTCCTTCTGATTTGCAGTTTAAGTAGTAAAGAACCGTATTTTTTACAAATACTCAGCTGTATCTTTTTTTTTTTTGACACTGACTTTCCTTGACGTTTGATTGCACAAATCTCCCTTCTTGTTTCAATCCTTACACTGACATCCACACATCAACAACAACATAACATATCCTGAAGAGACTACTATAGAAGATATTCACAGCAATGAAGAAGACTGAATGAAAGCCACAGAAACAACAGATTGAAATCAAAGTTTAGAGTACATCAGTTCCCACTACCTTAAATAACATCTTAAGCATAAATAACATGAAGTCTCTAGACAGTACTCCACACAACCACATAGCTAGCTAGCTAAGTCTTTTTTTTGTTACTTGCCTCATCAGGACAATATATGGGAATCACTTTTGCTCCCTCATTCGGACATAACAGGCTCAACCTCTCGCGGTAGTGCGCACACAACGTATCACACATAATATTAGATCCCTTGGAATTCTTTGCGCATTCTTCAAATAAATCGACAAGAACTCTACAATATTTTTCATCACCCTTCCACAGAGTGGAATTTGGATCTAGCATATGAGCTAATGAGCCAATTCCATGTGCAGTAGCAGTATTCCGAATTAAGTTGTTAGACCGACTACCATTGCCGCCGTGACGACCCATAGTAGAAATAGGCTTGTTGCTGTGACTTGTGAAAATTATTTTATCAAAGAACTAGCATATTCTTTATGTTTTGAATGTCATGTCTTGTAAATCGTTGATAATAATAACCACGCATTATCCATAAAATGCTGTATCCTAGCTATGTGTGATTTTTGTTCACTTCATCTTTCAGGTCATCTAAGCAAGTTCAACAACTGAACAAATCTGTTTGCAATGTCGATTCAGGCATTTCATCAAGTGCATTATTTGAGAGTGCACATACATTGCCCATAATGGTATAAGTTTTATAGCCCTGCCTTTTGTTTCTGCAAAATCATTGAATTTTGGTGTTGATTGTGCTCTTATTGTTGAGCAGTCTAATTGGACTTTTGTTTTTGTGTGATAAAAAGAATTTTCTTGGTGGATGCGTATTCATGCATTAAAGTAATAAAATTTGCCCCCACCCACACCAAAAACAATAAAATAAAGAATTTTACCACCCAAATACACCAAGAAAATAACGATGTACTTCTCTTATTTCATAGATAAGAAGTGGCATTCTTTGGTATTACTAACTGCTTGCGTACATCAATACTTTGCATAGTCTGTTTTAGAGTTGGTGCTAGGTTATGCCCAGAGCTCTTGGATTGTTTGTGATTCTGCCAATTGAATTTATGGACTAACTTCCCCTTCCCCATCATACCAGATAGCAACAAAACAACAAATAACTAGTTTGCACTTGATGTGATTTTCCTTTTCAGCATCCTGTTAAAAATTGTTACAAGTTTGCTTTTGCTTCTCTTATTGTTTATTTATTCATTAAGAAGCAAGGGACTGGTTTGATTCAGTCTGAATTGTGGCCTTGAGACGGCAGGAATTACAATATATTCATTGGTCTTACAAGTGCTGTAAACATTTACCATGCCCATACTACATAATTTTTTACATAGGGATGGGGTTATTACATAAAAATCTATTGTATGTGCATTTATATGCTTGTTTATGTCAAGGAAGGGTTATCAGGAGAATGTAAGATGTATTGTATCATATAAATTGAATGGAGTGTGTACTGATAAAAAATTGAGCGGCATGGTTTGGTCACTTGGTATTGCATTCACATGTTGTCATTGGGCTTAATTTCAATCAGGAAGTATTCAAAGTTCTAGCGTGATTTCATTTTGTAATTGATTCTTGTATTTTTGCTTCATCTTGCAGAGAAATTTGAATGACACCAATTTCCCAAGTTCTGCTGCCAGTTATCTTTATGCCACTGAATTATCTGATATGGGAAAGAATGAAAATCTTATTGACGGGTGGGATATTGTGGAGCATCCCACTTTTCCTCCCCCTCCATCACAGGTTGAGGATGTGGAGCATTGGACTCGAGCAATGTTTATTGATGCAACAAAGAAATGATCTGGTGCTTTAATGGCCTACCACTTACTGTAAGTACTTTCATCCAGTCGGGACTAGTTTTCTGGAGTTGTCAGCAGATTTAACCAATTACTTTCTGAGATGACCGACTTGCAGAACTTGTAAATAGATACAAGTTTTTGTGCATATGCCAGTATAGGTAGATCATATTTCAGAAGAAATGGTAGATTGTAGGTTCCTGTTCCTATTATGTTTCTACGAAGTCATAGTAATTGATTATTTACTTGGACAAAGTGCACAAGGTAGATACCTGTTCTAGGAGCTTTACTGAGCATTGAATTTACCTACCTGATAAATGAATGTGTATATACGCCTGCATTTTAGACCAAAGAGATGCAAGATTAGAGTTACAAGGGTATTTGGGTATCTGATTACAGCATTTCACTTTCCCAAGGCACTGATGTTGCTTCTCTTCTTTAACCGATGGCTTGCTTGTATCACCTGCCACCCCGTATGGGGCTCCTGAGGATCGAACCTTAGGGGGGCAGTTGGGGGTGGGTCGAAGATTGACAATTCTAGATCGGATCATTAATCCGCCTGGACATCAATCCGGTAAAAAGACTTGGTCAATGAGTTATTAGTTCAATCGTTGAGTCACTGGTCGGACCGGTTATATAATAAAAAAATAAAAAATATTTATTAATAGTAGAAAACATTCTCAATTAACTTTTTTTTTGGGTTAATTGTAAATTGCACTTTGAAAGATCGTTCAAATTTCATTTTTCACTCTCAAAGATCAAAAATTTTAATTTGTACCTAAAATTAATTTGATAAATTATACCTAGATTTCTTTATGCTTGTTATTTAATAATTTGGACCCCTTCACATTTAGAATATTACTATTATATCTCATGACGTTTATGCACGTATAACACGTAATTCTTTTTCGTTGATATCTGTTAATATAATCATTAAAAAATATGATTTTATCTTAATAAAAAATTATAATTTCATATTACCCTTTATTTTATAGGTCCAATATACTCTAAAGTGCAAAATCAAGTTTATTATTTGNATAACACGTAATTCTTTTTCGTTGATATCTGTTAATATAATTGTTAAAAAATATGATTTTATCTTAATAAAAAATTATAATTTCATATTACCCTTTATTTTATAGGTCCAATATACTCTAAAGTGCAAAATCAAGTTTATTATTTGAATGTCTAATAGAATAAATGGTTGCACTTTGAGTGATATATTGCATTGGATATAAAAAATATTATATAAATATCTACATTTTATTGGACATTTAAATAGTAAGCTTGATTTTGAACTTTAGAATATATAGGACTCACAAAATAAAGAGTAATATGAAATTATAATTTTTTATTAGGATAAAATTATATTTNGGGTTGCACTTTAAGTGATATATTGTATTGGATATAAAAAATATTATATAAATATCTACATTTTATTGAACATTTAAATAGTAAGCTTGATTTTGAACTTTAGAATATATAGGATCCACAAAATAAAGAGTAATATGAAATTATAATTTTTTATTAGGATAAAATTATATTTTTTAATAGTTATATTAGCAGATATCAACGAAAAGGGATTACGTGTTATACGTACACAAACATCATGAGATGTAGGAGTAATATTCTAAATGTGAAGGGGTTCAAATGATTAAGTGACAAGCATGAGAGGATCTAGATATAATTTATCAATTTAATTTTAGGTGCACATTGATACAAATTTTTATCTTNAGGGTTACGTGTTATACGTACACAAACATCATGAGATGTAGGAGTAATATTCTAAATGTGAAGGGGTCTAAATGATTAAGTGACAAGCATGAGAGGATCTAGATATAATTTATCAATTTANGATATGATTTATCAATTTAGTTTTAGGTGCACATTGATACAAATTTCTATCTTTGATGGTGCAAATTAAAATTTTTGATCTTTGGGGGTCTAAATTGACATTCGAATTATCTTTCGGGGTGCAACTTACAATTAATCCTTTTTTTTTTCCAGGCGAAATGTTCTCAGTTCACCCCCACAATATCAATAATCTAGTTTCTCCATAATTAAAAAAAATTTCACTTTACACAAAAAACCTGATTTTTATTTCCGATTCCAACTTCTCCATTCAAATCCACAGAGATCGACCCAATCAAAATTGGCAGTAATCTCAATATCAATCTACTAAAATGGAACATCAAAAATAAATCAAATAAAACAAAAAGAGGGGTTTCTGATACAGAACAAATCAACACAAAAACCAAAAAAAAGTTCACCAAAGAAAAATTCAACATAGAGTGCTAGTGATGTTGTTTTTCTCCACCATAAAACAATAGTCGGTGAAAGAATTGAATAGTTCAAAATTTGGGGTTAATCTCATTTTGCACTCTGAAAGATTGTTCGAATCTCAATTTGTACTCTCAAAGATCAAAAATTTTAATTTACACCCTCAAAGATAGAAATTTGTATCAATGTGCACCCCCAAATATCAAAAATCTCAATTTGCACCCTCAAAGATAGAAATTTATATCAATGTGCATTCCAAAGATAAAAAATCTCAATTTGCACCATCAAAGAAAGAAATTTGTATCAATGTGCACCTAAAAATTAAATTGATAAATTATACCTAGATCTCCTCATACTTGTCACTTAATCATTTAAACCTCTTCACATTTAGAATATTACTCCTACATCTTATGACATTTGTGCACGTATAACACGTAACTCATTTTCATTGATATCTATTAATATAACCGTTAAAAAATATAATTTTATCCTAATAAAAAATTATAATTTCATATTACCCTTTATTTTATAGGTCCAATATACTCTAAAGTGCAAAATCAAGTTTATTATTTGAATGTCTAATAGAATAAAGGGTTGCACTTTAAGTGATATATTGTATTGGATATAAAAAATATTATATAAATATCTACATTTTATTGAACATTTAAATAGTAAGCTTGATTTTGAACTTTAGAATATATAGGATCCACAAAATAAAGAGTAATATGAAATTATAATTTTTTATTAGGATAAAATTATATTTTTTAATGGTTATATTAACAGATATCAACGAAAAAAGGGTTACGTGTTATACGTACACAAACATCATGAGATGTAGGAGTAATATTCTAAATGTGAAGGGGTCTAAATGATTAAGTGACAAGCATGAGAGGATCTAGATATAATTTATCAATTTAATTTTAGGTGCACATTGATACAAATTTTTATCTTTGATGGTGCAAATTAAAATTTTTGATTTTTGGGAGTCTAAATTGACATTCGAATTATCTTTCAGGGTGTAATTTACAATTAATCCTTTTTTTTTTAGGCGAAATGTTCTCGGTTCACCCCACAATATCAATAATCTAGTTTCTCCATAATTGAAAAAAAATTCACTTCACACAAAAAACCTGATTTTTATTTCCGATTCCAACTTCTCCATTCAAATCCACAGAGATGGACCCAATCAAAATAGGTAGTAATCTCAATATCAATCTACTAAAATGGAACATCAAAAATAAATCAAAAAGAGGGGTTTCTGATACAGAACAAATCAACACAAAAACCAAAAAAAAGTTCACCAAAGAAAAATTCAACATAGAGTGCTAGTGATGTTGCTTTTCTCCACCATAAAACAATAGTCAGGTGAAAGAATTGAATAGTTCAAAATTTGAGATAGACTAGCAATATTTGTTTGTGGGTAATGGCAGTTGTAACATGACTCGGTGAGTAGTGTACCCGCTAGGTGAAGCAAATCGCCAAGGAAGTGAAGTAAATCGATTCTTGTCCTGCCTTCGTTCGACACTTCAACTAAGAGAGAGAAGGAGAGGGGCTGATTCGGTCAACAACTTGACTGAGAAAGAGGTTGCTTCTTTCGAGATTGACCGAGCGAGAGACTGATCGTTCGACGACGAGGGTGAGAAAGAGAGAAAGGGAGACTAATTGTTCGAAAATGAGGGTGAGAGAAAGAGGGAGGTTGAGATTCGTCGGACTCAACGCTGGAAAAAGAAAGAGGCATAGAGACAATTAGGTTTTGGGCAAAAATGCCCAAAAGGGCTGGTTTTTATACCCTTTAAATGACTCGCCCGATTTGTTGTAAATCGTCCAGTTCAACGGGTTTAGACAAGAACCGTCCGGTTCAGTGGGTGTTGTTTGCTCAAACGATCTAATAGTTTACTCGGCCCAGTTTAGTGACCAATTCACCAGTTTATTGGGTCAACCCACCGGGCCAAGCAGGATTTTAAGACACAGGTTAGATCCTTCATTAAATCTTCGGATTAGATTCATTACTCTGGTATGTCTGTTGGACTCATTCCAATAAACTGATAGACATCTGGATAAACATGACACGGGTCTGGTAAATAAATTGGTAGTACCCTGGCATGACACAAACTTGGCTATAACGGTCATAAATGGGTCATGGGTCAGGTAAGGATTGGGTAGATTTTGATAGGACATGACATAAATAATGTGAACGCTTAGGAGGGCCGGGGATGTTGGGCCATCCAAGTGTGAGCTGTGCTGGGGAGAGATGCATATAAAATGAAAAACAAATATTTAAGAAGTGGAAAATCTGGCAAATTCAGTTTATAGTGATATACTATTCTACTCACCCCAAAAAAAAACACACTATTCCAGTACTTAATTCTAATGTAAGGTTGTTTCCTTTTGATAAGGGTATTATTGGTTTGGATTACAGAAACATCCTCTTTGTAAATTCAATTTATGGTAAGATCTTATACAAATTTTTGATACGGCAATAAGGTTATTTTATTGTTGCAAAGGTGTCATGGATTCGAGTCACAAAAATATTTCTCCACATGTTGTGATAAGATTGTGTATATTTGATCCTTTCCAAATCTCATGGTAATGGAAGTCACATGAACTGGGCTATTTTGTATTGGTATATGGAATGAGGAAGCCAAATGGGTCATATACTATCTAAATGCACTCCATGTTTCAACACACCTTTGATACTACATGGTGTAGCATGCACACCAAGAGACTGTTAATCNAAGCCAAATGGGTCATATACTATCTAAATGCACTCCATGTTTCAACACACCTTTGATACTACATGGTGTAGCATGCACACCAAGAGACTGTTAATCAACTCAAACTAAAACACTAAACTCTCTCAAATCAGCGCAGTAATAACAAGGTTAAAATTAGATTCCAATACCCAGAAGAAAAGGAACAAGTAAAGAAAAAGAGAACTTGTGATCATTCAGAATGAAAGTGAGGAAATTGAAATTTTTACTTGCTCAAATTGCCAACTAATGTTCTTAAAAGTTCTCTAGAACATGCAAATGAAAGACAATAAAACTGGTTACCCCTCATAAGCTAAATAAGATTAGATAGTTCAAAGACCTAAGTTCAGAGTTTTAAGTACTCAAACAGGCAACACCAGCATCGTAGTTTCACTTCTTCCTCTTCTTAGGAGGCTGAAGGGATGCCTCGTCTTCATCCTCTTCCTCATCATCCTCTGGTTCTTCTTCTTCTTGAACTTCTTCCTCATCCACATCCTCACCATCCTCCTCCTCCTCCTCATCGTCATCATCATCATTTTCTTCCTCATTGTGGTTATCTTCTTTGTCATCTTCGTCATTCTGGCCCTCATCATCATCTTTGTCCTCTCCATTCTCTTCACCTGCTCCACCAGCTCCTCCTTCAGGTTCATTCTTGGCATTGCCATTGATGTTGGGATTGTTGCCGTACCCTCCTGCCTCTTCAGAAGATGGGTCCTCTTCGCCTCCTCCAAGGCCACCGTCCTCCCCGCCATCAGCAATATCATTGGCATTTTCATCTCCATCTTCTCCCTCGACATCATCCAATTCGGATCGCCCAGCTTCTCCCTCGACATCAACCAATTCTGATTGGCTTTTGCCGTGATGTTCTCCTTCACCTTTGGGTCCGTTTGTCATCAACAGTGCCATGGAATCCTGAAACTAGGGGACGAAGTTGCAATGCCGGAGTCAGGTACCCAAGAATAATAAACAGTATAACCAAGAAACGAGGAGAGAGGAATGGAAATACGTGCGCGTGCGCACATACACCAGTCGTGTCTTAAAACCCCTCAAAATTCTTAAAGGTTCCGTGCAAAGTCTAAGGTTNTGCGCGTGCGCACATACACCAGTCGTGTCTTAAAACCCCTCAAAATTCTTAAAGGCTCCGTGCAAAGTCTAAGGTTGCTTGGCAGTTGAAAATGGGTTGCTACACATACAAATGGGGGGCCTGTATTGAATGAGATTGTTGAAAAACTGTGGCACATAAATAGTAATATGAAGCAAAACTCGGCTTCAATTGGTACAGTATCGAATCCTCAGTGTTCAAGCATAAGAGTTTCTTCTGATATGAATTAGGTGAGTGTATTTAAATATGCTGTACAAATGGGGGGCCTGTATTGAATGAGATTGTTGAAAAACTGTGGCACATAAATAGTAATATGAAGCAAAACTCGGCTTCAATTGGTACAGTATCGAATCCTCAGTGTTCAAGCATAAGAGTTTCTTCTGATATGAATTAGGTATCAACCTGAGTGTATTTAAATATGCTGTACAGAGGCTATTAACCAAACCACATAAATTACTTGTGTCTTATGTGATTGTTATTTTAATTTTTCCACTTTTGTGTGTGTTATATGAATCCAAATTTGATTCTTGCAGTTATTTTCACAACAATACATAGCTGGATCCATTTCGATACCACATAAAAACAACAGAGATTTAGTGCACCCATTTGGTCATTTTGGTTTAAATTAAAACATGTTAGCTCTAGCAGAGCATATGTAGCATTTTTTCACTATTATTATCACCTCATAGGGTAACAACCCTTTTTGAATGGTTCTTATTCAATTGAAGGTACAGTGAAAGAGNTCAAGTGTCAACTACAACTAACTGCCAAACACTCACACTCAGTAAACCAATTATAAAACACAGCTCAATTATAAAAAATTAATTATTTTATTTTTTGATACTTGACATTACTTTTCACATTAACTTAGTATTTTTAGATAAATACTTTACTTGGGATTTCTCTGACCATTACAAATTGTATGCAAAAAAAAAAAAAAATGGAAAAAAAAAAGATTATAATAAATTATTGATCAACTAGAAATGATTAAATCCATGTGGGAAAAATAAAANTAAGTGTCAACTACAACTAACTGCCAAACACTCACACTCAGTAAACCAATTATAAAACACAGCTCAATTATAAACAAATAATTATTTTATTTTTTGATACTTGACTTTACTTTTCACATTAACTTAGTATTTTTAGACTAATACTTTACTTGAGATTTCTCTGACCATTAAAAATTGTATGCAAAAAAAAAAAAATGGAAAAAAAAATATTATAATAAATTATTGATCAACTAGAAATGATTAAATCCATGTGGGAAAAATAAAAATAAAAAGTTAATTAATTTTGTTTTATTGTCTAGCAAAATATCTTAATAAATCACTAATCAAACCTCAGCATTGACCATAACAGCAATCGAGGTCAGCAAAGTGGATAGAGTGTCCCTAGCGCACGTTAGCAAAGCCTGGTTAGCGATCACCTCCATTTGTACGGTCGACACCTGCCAAAAAATAAAGGAGAACACAAAAAAAAGTCAGATGTTGACCTTTAGATCTCCCCCCAACTCTCCGGCACAGTCCGTTGGANCTAGCAAAATATCTTAATAAATCACTAATCAAACCTCAGCATTGACCACAACAGCAATCGAGGTCAGCAAAGTGGATAGAGTGTCCCTAGCGCACGTTAGCAAAGCCTGGTTAGCGATCACCTCCATTTGTACGGTCGACACCTGCCAAAAAATAAAGGAGAACACAAAAAAAAGTCAGATGTTGACCTTTAGATCTCCCCCCAACTCTCCGGCACAGTCCGTTGGAATTTGGATAAGATATCAAAATCCGTTAAGATTTCAAACCAGAAAATAAAAAATAAAAAAAAAACAAATAAAATAAAGTTTACAGTAAAATGAAGAAGTGGCTACACATTCAAGGACTTGGGGTGTGTGTGTGTTTGAAATATATATATACATACTATATTTACAGATCTGCACAGATAAGGCAAGGAAACCTAATTTTGCAGAAAAAGGAAGTTTCTAGGGATAAGAAAATACGAGAAAAGGTTAAAAAAATTGGTTGTTGGAAGAGAAGAATTGAAGAGTTTGGGACGAAATAGCTGAATATAACAATTTGTACAGAGGAATAATCGGAAGTAGTAGTAGTAGGAGGAGAATTTCCCCGAAAAGCTGTGAACAAAGGAGAGAAAGATCGGTTTTCAAAGGGAAAAAAGTATGTATAATGCGNATTGGTTGTTGGAAGAGAAGAATTGAAGAGTTTGGGACGAAATAGCTGAATATAACAATTTGTACAGAGGAATAATCAGAAGTAGTAGTAGTAGGAGGAGGAGAATTTCCCCGAAAACCTGTGAACAAAGGAGAGAAAGATCGGTTTTCAAAGGGAAAAAAGTATGTATAATGCGAGCAAAGAAGAGAGACAAGTTGAATTTTCCGGGAAAACAAAGGAAAGTTTCTAGGAAAACGTGTACCTTGAGAAGTGAAAACGCGTAGCTAAGCAGATCCAAAGGCTTCAATGCTCTGAGATAACAACAATGAGCAAGTAGTAAATCAGACAGTGTCTGGAGACAAAAGCAGTGAAAGAGAGAGAGAGAGAGAGGGAGAGGGAGAGAGAGAGTGCTTAAATCTTACGTAAATAGAGACCAGAGACTTTAGAGTTAGGAGAGAGACTTTAAGGATGTGTTTGTTAGTGTGATATAGATAATAGAATCGAATCTAATGCTGTTTGTAGGAGGACTCATNCTGTCTGGAGACAAAAGCAGTGAGAGAGAGAGAGAGAGAGAGAGGGAGAGGGAGAGTGCTTAAATCTTACGTAAATAGAGACCAGAGACCAGAGACTTTAGAGTTAGGAGAGAGACTTTAAGGATGTGTTTGTTAGTGTGATATAGATAATAGAATCGAATCTAATGCTGTTTGTAGGAGGACTCATTCTTTTCAAGTCTTAACCATAGTTTGCCCCTATTAAAACCACACTTAGGTTTCTCTTGTTTTGGGACATCATAACCATACTTAGGTTATAATTCTTGTTTCTTAAGAAATGTTTGTTTTTATGTAGGGGATTTGACTAAACTACCAGAAAAAAAATTCGGTACTGNAGGTTTATCTTGTTTTGGGACATCATAACCATACTTAGGTTATAATTCTTATTACTTTTGTGGGTGATTTTATCACTGTTTTAATAACTATTTTTATTATTTTTCTTAAGTATAATTTTNGGTTTCTCTTGTTTTGGGACATCATAACCATACTTAGGTTATAATTCTTGTTTCTTAAGAAATGTTTGTTTTTATGTAGGGGATTTGACTAAACTACCAGAAAAAAAATTCGGTACTGTATTTTTAAAATTTATTATTTTAATGAGTTTTTTTATAATTAAATTTTTTTTTTATTTTGTGGGTGATTATTATTTTTGTAGGTGATTTTATCACTGTTTTAATAACTATTTTTATTATTTTTCTTAAGTATAATTTTTTTTATTTTATTTGTAGATATTTTTATCACTCTTGTGATAATTATTTTTATCATTTTTTTTATACTACAATAATAATAAAAATATTTACAAATATAATAAATATGATATAATAACTATTTTTTTTTTTGGGGTACGGTCGATAACTTCTTATATAAGTATGCAAGTTGTATTAACAAATAGGAAGATAATAATGTTTGACTAAGGATGCGTTTGGTTGAGGAATATCAAAGGAGGAGATTGGACTATCCAAAAAAAAATCATTCATTTCTGAACCAACCATACACTATAATTATATATATATATATATATCGGAAAGTAATAAATTTTCTCATGAATAAATTGCATGAAAATTTATAATTACTAAGCAGTTAGGGAGAATTTGGTAAGATTGTGTAGTTGATATTTTGAATAAATAGTTTTCGAATTATTTCACTATATATGTTTGTTATACCCACAATAAGTTAACTTTTTTTTTTTGTTCCGCGTACACCGACACACTTTCACTACAATAAGTTAACTGAATGAATAAACCAAAACAATTCAACATGTTAAAAAACGAGAACAACTCAAAAAACTTGAAGAATCTTTAATATGCCAATTTTTATTTTTATATATATATTTTTTGATATTACGGTTAAGGGTGTCGGATGAGGCTTATGTTCTCCTCAAAGACAGATTATTTACGTTGAAATTAGAGAATTCATGAGAGATAAATTCCTCATAGTCTAATCTTAAAGAAGTTACTAAATTTTGAACTCGAAATATGTAAATTTATATCACATTTTTATCGCTACTTGGGCTACCATTTGCGCTGTGTGTCTACTTTTATTAATCATGATGTTTATGGTGGATTAGATTAAGAAACTACAATAAGCTATGATCAGGATCATCTAGTCCTAACCTGTGTTGCTTCCTGGCTTAATTTTTTTATTGCAGACCTTATATGAAACCCCAAAAATGAAAGAGAAATAAAAATAGAACTACTTAGAGATTAGAACGGATACACTGTAAGATCGAATCTGAAAATCAATCAATCTTTTAAAATTGAGGTTTAGATTGTGAGATTGCTTGCCATTTACTTCTCTCAAATCACACAATAGATTAAAGCCTTGTGTGTTGTACTGAGTACAACATTTTTCTTTCTAATTAAGTTCTGTAATTCTTTATTGATAGGCATCAGGCAATGTTAATTAAAAGCATTACTTAAAAAAATGACTTTAATCATGGACTTGACTTCTACCCAGAACACTGGGCTTTTTCTCAGGGGTGCTTGCTCGGTGAGACAAGCCCAGGCTATCAAGACGCTGGTGAGGATTGTGACGTACGGATATGGATATAGGATATGAATACGATATAATACGGATACGATAATATGATAAAATCTAAAAAAATAAGATACGGATAAGGCCAAGCTACGGCTATAATAAAATATGTTTAATATTTTTAACCAACTTAATACTTATATATTTTAGTAGTTCTTTAACATATAATAAGAAAAATTAATAATTTTTTTTTAGTTTCAAGAAAATATTTATCATGTCGCTGTGGTATATTCACAAAGTAAAGTGACTACTTAAAGAAATCAAAATTAAAGGAATCAAAACTAATATTTACTTGATCAGGTGTTAGTGGATACCTCCTTTATAGCAAGTCAAGACTTATATGGCAGGGAGCAGACGATTCTCTCTCGATGTGAAACGAGAGGTTAAAGGCTACTGGGAGACTCAGCCCAAGTCAGCCAAAATCCTTCCGTGGGGAGGTGGTTCACCCCTTACACCATAATAATATATACTAATGAACTTTCAACCATTTTTTTGTTATTGATTATGTGAACTGTTGATATGAGTCTTATTAATTATCCAATAGTTATAATTAGGTTAGATATGTTATCTTCGAGTTATGTCTCACCATAAGGTCTTCGGAAGTGTTTCTTGTGAACTCCAAAAGGTAGCTCAAATAATAATATAGATAAATTGTAAACTCAGACATCCTGAATTCGAATCTTGACAAATTCTCTTTGAGATCAAGTCATAAGTGATTTATCTTTTATGAATATTCTAGACCTAGTGTGGTTGGCCAACCTTTGATTAGATTGGAAAATAAATTAATCGAGGTACGCGTAAGTTATCTCGGACATTCTTTACCGTTGACCAAAAAGAGAAAAAAAAGAAGAAGAGAAGGGTTTCTGGTGCATTATCAGCAAAGTAAAAGTTATCTTTTATGAATATTCTATACTTAGCGTGGTTGGCTAGCCTTTGACTAGATCGAAAAATAAATTAATTGAGGTGCACATAAGTTAGCTCGGACATGCTTTACCCGTTAAACAAAAAAAGAAAAAAAAAAAAAGGAAGAGAAGGGTTTCTAGTGCATCATCAGCAAAGAAACGGCTGTGTATGATACATAACTGATTTATCTCTTATGAATATTCTAGACTTAGTGTGGTTGACCAGTCTTTGACTAGATTGGAAAAGAGATTAATCGAGATACGCGTAAATTAGTTGGGACATTTTTTACCGTTAAGCAAAAAGTGAAAAAAAAAAAAAGAGGAGGGAAGGGTTTCTAGTGCATCATCAGCAAAGAAAAGGCAGTGTATGGTACATAACTATCATTCTTCTCTCATACAGTATGCATATAAGCAGTGGCCTGTGAGCCACAAATTTTGTGTCTCAATGTACAGCCATTAGTTAGGTTACTAATAAAGGTTTTGCCACCTACCTAGTGACAGAATGCTGCAGGATAAGAGCCTTAGACATCCCTTGTTTTCAAGATGCAAGGAATTCATTCTTGAATAATAAAACAAAAAATATTATTACTAAAAGTATAATAAAAATGTTCAAGATCGCAATAAAAAGTCAAAATTTCGATGCCAATCTACAAATGAATGAAGGAAAAGAAAAGGGTCGTATAGAGAAATGCTAGAATTCAGCTGAGCTGGTTCGTCGTAGTTGATATCTTGGTTGAGAAGTTGGATTTGAATACAAAAGCATCTCCACTTCCTGTGAAATACAAGATCACAACAACAACAACAAAAAAACAGAAAAAAAAAACATAAATTAGAATAGAGAAAACCCTCTTGTTTAAAGGCTTACAGACAACAACAATTGTGAAGGGAAATGATAAAGCAGGAACTTTTGAAGTACTTGCTGCTAGAATTATATTAGAGTTAATGGTAATTTTGGGTCTTCAAGTTTGTACGTTTTGTTAATTTGATCTTTAAAATATTTAATTCGTATTTAAATGATCCTCTCTTAGACGGACTTTTAAGTTTTTGTCGGAATTATCACATGTTATTCATGTAATACCGTTGGAAAGAATAATACGTGGTCACTTTTATAAAAAAGATTTAACAAATTATCTGATTAGAGACTAAAGTGACATAAATTAAAACTCTTGGGCCTAAATTGATAAAATTAATACAATAAGAACTAAACTAATAAAACAGACATAATTTAGAAATCAGAAGTGTTATTAACGCATTACATTATCTCAATTTATTGCTCACGAAAGCACAAACTGCAAAGCAAACACAAACTTGGGTGCTATGGGACTTCCTAGAGGCAGACATTGTAAAAAAAAAACTAATTTCCATTATCGAAGGAACTAAATGACAGTGCCCAGTATAGAAGACTCTTGTCTGTAGTGGGGTCTAGGAGATTTAAGTGATAGCTTGGTAAATAAGGATACCCCCATTTTGGAGAAACATATTCGCAATCTTGAACCAGTGAAGTATTGAGTAGGCAGATGAATTTTTGTCATTGCTAAAGATCCAACCACATAGCTCCTACAGAACTACCATCTAAAAATTTACCGAAACAGTTAGTACCTAAACTTCATAACAACATAACTGTAGACTCTAACTGAGGTGAAATTGATAATCTACTACTTGGAAGCATCGTTAGTGATGCTTTAATGATGCTAATTGTTTCTAATTGCTCTTATACAATGGATCAAAGAATCGAACATGTTTTGACATGAAGCTTCCGGTGCTGGTTTTGCTTTCCAAGGGATTCTGTAAATTTCAAAAGTAGACAAACTTAAAGGTGTTATATTCCACATGTTTTAGACCATGCATATAGGAAATGCATCTAATTAATATGCATGTTTTAGCTTTGTTAACGAAGGGCAAGTTGAAATTTTAAACTCCTGATGGGTCTCTCCAGCTTCAAGAAAATCCATAGATATCAGCTCTGATAGGTTATGTTCTTAAGTGCCCAACACTATGGTTCTCTCTAAATGCAAAAGCAAATCCATGAGAGGGTTAAGATCTTATTCCCAATAGCATAGCTGTATGTTTTATACATAAAAACATGTTCTTATGAAATCAACAGAAGCATCAGAGAGTTTCCCTTCCAAACACTTCTCTCCATCTTCATGAGATTGTCATACCACTTGTAGGCAGGACCGTCGAGGAAAAGGGAAAATTGTCTCAATGACAAATACCCATTTGTGGCATTGTCCCAGCAAGCAGTAATGAAATGAGATAAGTGTCTTTTAGGGCAACCTCCCCCATCAAACATAGAAAATGGTGGGATTTTGGTACCCTGGTGGATAAGGAACCGTGTCATGATATGAAGGAGACGGACTGCAATAAGGCTGGATTGCTCCTGCATTCTTTTCTCAAAGGTTAAACACCATTATCATCTTAAGAGTGAAGCTGCAATTTTTTTTATGGTAGTTGGCTCAAAAGCATGGCTATCTTCTTAATCATAACTCACCCAGTAGCTGGCAAAAACCAGCACCTATTCAGCCAGGTTCACTCTATTGCTAGTCTCAATATTAGCTATCCCTTGGTATATTAGCCATTCCTGAACTGTGGTTCTTTTGTTGGTAATGCCTCAAGAAGAATAGAAGGAGCTTGTGTAAGAGGCACTCAAAGATGGGTAATGGTTTTACCATTATCTCTGATCGAAATCTAATGTTGCATCTCACCTACTAGCAGAGTGCTAGGTCATATGGTCAAGTAGCAGGAGTCAAATAGGTTTCTTGTCCAAACTCAGACTGACTTAGGCATTACCCTCAGCATTGCTTCTTTGTCCTGCTTGTTTTACAGATGATCCGAAACCTTTGCTCACCACCAAGTTTCACTTGGCAGACCAACAATTGCTTTGCTCGAGCAGTAGTCCTTGGGGATTCATCTACGTCTAACTGTGGAGAATCATGGAATTAGCTTGAGACAATTCTTACCCAAAACTACGCTATTATTGCCAGCAGACAGGTATATTTAACCCCAAACAGCGTAGTATCCTGAGATTTGTTTTCACTACTAGGATTTAAGATAGTGCCTTGGATTGTTGCGAAACTTGAGTTTACTCTGAGATTAGTTTAGAGTTAACAGCAGTTTAGGTACATGTTTCTGATTAATTTAATATAGTCAATAAAAACCACATAATTACTCAAGAAAATTATGGTATCACCTTCTGCTTTTTGAGCCAATCATTTATTCTCCTTAGTTGAAATGCATCATGCTCCAACTGATTGGTGTAGGCCTACAATACCACAACTATCACTAAGTTAAAACTACAAGTTTTGTCATCAGAGAAAAACAGAAAAATTAAGCAAGTTGTGCAAAGTATCATATTATTTTCAGAAAAAAAAACATAGAACAAGTCCCAAACATCAACCTGTTTCCTTGCCCTTGACCTAGCAGCCGACTCGCGATTCTTGATCATCCTCCTTTGCCTCCTTTCAATAGTCTTCTCCATCATCTCATCTGTGAATCGCCGCTTCCTTCCACCACCCACCTGGGAGTCAGAAGAAGTGGTGGCCGCAGCTTGAACGGGCATTGGCAGTGTTATCTGGTTACCTGAGTAACCTATCTCCACCATTGAATTCTCATATCCCATTTCAGAAACCCGGAAATTCGACCCCACCACCGCCTGCATTGGCATGGTTGTCATCTGCTGTTGCTGCTGATGATGAACCGTTCCCGTACGAAACTGCAAGCTATCTGCCTGTTGCTTGACCAAAACCATTGGATCAATCCCCATCAATGGATGAGGATTAATAACACTTTCATGATTTGCTAAACTAATGACTCCGGCATGAATTAGAAAATCCTCCAGTGTTGTCTCTCCAAGACTCAGTTGGCGCTGGACTGATCGGTTGGGTTTGTCTTTGTCAGCTGCATTGATATGATAAGGATGACCAATTTCATTCCAAACTTCGTCCACTGTTTTCTTACTAAATGTCCCATTTAGATTTCCATGAAAGATTAAAGGTGAAGAAGATGAAGAAGAAGAAGATTGGTGTCGTACGAGCTGACTCTCTTCAGCAGAGATAACATTTTTCACTAATTCATCCAAGTTCATAGTATTCAAAGAATTTCCAATATTGTTGAGTTGGTTCGGGACATCATCAAGGGTGAGATTGTGTAGAGAACCTTGTGTGTCCAAAACTGGAGTGTTAGGCCCTAGGAACTTCATCCGGTGAGACTACAGCTCTATGACCCATCACAATTCATGGAATTCTATCAACTTTAATATAAAGGAGTGTCAGAGAAGGTTGGTGGTGGGGGGGGGGAGGCAGTTTGATATTGGTTTGGTCTTTGACTGTTGAATCTATATCCCGCAAGTGTAGCATGGAAAAGAGGTGTGGTTGTTGAGATATATAGAGATTAAACAGCCGACCCAGGAAATCTGAAACGGCCATCCCTCTCTCGGTCTTGTACGTACCTTTGGATCCCAATTCGGGAGAGGAGTCTGATGGTGGTAGGAAGTTTTGAGACTTGAGAAGGCAACAAGGGGACAACATATTCCACAAAAAGGTTTTTTCAACTTATATTTTACTGGTTGTAGATATTCGTAAAATCAGTAAGAAAACTTCTAATTCTATAATGATGCATATAATATCAATCAGAAACAAATACATGATTATATATATATATATAAAACATGTTTTTGGTATTTTTATTTTTATATGAGTTTTATGGATGAAGAGGAATTCAAGACCTTTTTATGATAAACAGAATGAGCTCTAATCTTTATGGATTCAAATTCATTTTTTGGGCTTTTGTTACAAATGATTTTGAGAATATATATTTGCATTACTTTGAGCAGGACAACTATTATTGGATTGTAAATTTTATTTTTATGGTCTTGTTTTTGTGCGATTTTTATGTTCTTGGGTTTTTTAGGTCATTTTTTTGGGTCGGAAGACTTGTCCACCTTTGTTGTTGGCTCTCGTAATTTCTCTTTCCTTTTTTATTAATAAAATTACTATTTTTTATCAATTTTTTTTGGTGGTATTAAAATTAAGTTAATTTGTGTTTGGCACTAAATCAAATAGTTTATTACTTGAGTAAGCAAGACATGTTATTTCAAGTTCATATCATCAACCCTAAATTATGAAACTCGTATGTATCGTGTTAAAAATATTTTTATTTTTGAAAAGTATGTTGAAAATGATGAATTTGAGACACATCAATTGATAGAGGTGAGAGCTGAGAAATAGGCTACAGATCAAAGATGTCAGGAAAGTTTCATGTGGGCCGTGGCCGAGATGCATTCATAACGATTGGGCTCTTTAAGACTTCAAACACATAGGCAGTCGTGGGCTTGGCCCAACCCAATCTTAAGCCTGTGTAAAATTTGTTGATGGAACATCATCTTCATTTGGTAAACTTCAATTTGATTAGCATAACACTCCAAGGCAAAACCCACCTACTTGTATTAGGACTTGGCACAAATTTTTTCATACTTCCAAAGCCAAGGGAGGAGGATCGGGACCAAAGTGGACGAGGTTAGGTCGTGACACCCGTATGAATATATATATATATATATATATATATATATATATATATCTTTTCTTCCAAATATTTCTATTACATAATCATATAGAATTTATATTTAATATCCAAGCTTGTCTATAACAATGTCCGTTAAAAGTAAGTGGTATGAAATTTTATCTTTTTATTTGAAAGGATGAATCTTGAATTCAAGAACCTTCAATATATCACTTGGATAGATGAATATTTATCATCAATATAATATCCGGAAAAAAATAATCTTATATCCAATGCTATATATGCAAAACAGAATGAGTAGTGGTCAACTGATAATTGTATGTGCATCAAATTTGTGCACCAAAACTTATATCAAATTAATTGCAGTTGTTGAATCGGTGATGGAACCCACTGATTTAACATCTACAAGTGATTTGATGCAAATGATTTAGTGTACATAGCATTGCTCGTGGCCAATTAGTAGTACTCATGGAAGTAGTACCAGTAGTAGTAGCTATAGACTATATTGATTGGGTAAACCTTTCAAGTTTAACTTGATGCATTATTTCCTCAGTGACAGTTCTCAATAGTCCTCATCCAAGGAAAATACTAAATCTTTGTTTAGATCCATTTGCGAACTAGATTTGATGGGTTAATCCAACTATCACTCAAGCCCATTGAAATTAAACCATAATTTATTGCCGAGTATTCGTCGTGTTAAGATTACAACTCTAAGTCACACAAAGCACATACCAGAGGTATTGCAACAACTCGATCAATTATTGAAATGTCGCATAGGACTGTTCATTATTTAACATCACTGAATAACAATATCGTTGGTATAAGCATGGGAGAATCTTTATATCTACCCTTGGTTGCATAGATTCCCCAGAAAAATGTTCTGTGCTCCAGCACTCGGGACCCTTTAAGTTAAGCCTTTTGCCACTTTGGAATTTGCTTTTGATTTGAGCAATTGACATAAAACAGGTCAAAAATAGTCCTTTGAAAGTCATTTACCTATCCACAGAAGGGGATAAGAGATTTCTAGGATACTGACATAAAGTTATAATTATGACTGAAGTCGAGTTTTGCGAGTTTGAATCGAGATTGTAGCTCTCAACTATTTTACATATAAACAAGTCGAGTTTTGCGAGGTCAAGTCGAGCAAAACGAACCTAAAAATTGTTCAAACTAGATTTGTTTAGAATACGAATTGAGCTCAAAATGAGTCCTATCCGAACTAAAATCCGAACAATTCAACTCAATTATTTATCCTATTTATAATCTAATTAGGTTACGTTACGACTCAAAATCAATCCCCCAAAAAAAAAACCCCTCAGAATTAATCTAAAGGTTTTCAATATCAATATCAACTTTTGTTGAATCGTAACTTTTACCTTGTGGGTAATATTTAATCTCATTAGATCATAAATTATTTGGAATTTTTTTACAACTTTCCCTGAATAAAGGTTGAAGTGATCTATGGAGGATCTGCCAAGCAAGGTCACTGTGTAGACTTTATATCCATGTACATTTTTTTTTTTTTTGGGGGGAGAGGGGGAGGGAGACTTTATATCCATGTACATACAGTACCACTTTATTGATTGAATCTATATTTGGATAGATCCCCATCAAGTTCCTATGAACATTTAGTGTTGTAAATTTTATCTTTCAATCAAAAGAAAAAGTAGAGAACTTGTAGATGTGTTTGTGGTGTGGTTGCTTTCCATTAATGATTGAGGGCATGACATATGAGAGCATATCAATTTGGGATGCACTTCCATATGGCATCATCAAATAATGCAGGCTTATTTCTTTTTTTTTTTGAAAAAATAGTGGGGGTAAAAGAGAGCGTTCAAAGACCACCCCGATAGATCCTCATTGGTGGGATCATAAGGTCTTTGACTACGCATGTTACTCATATTAGAAACGAACTTAGCTAGACTAGCATAATAGTTAACTACCGAACTTTAATGTGAACTTAAAAACTCAAACCTCGAATTTAAAGGTGAGAAGTTTGACCGCTACTTCACTGGATCACCCTATCTCTAATATGAACTCCAAGACTCGAACCTCCAATTTATAGGTGAGAATTTCGATCGATACCCTACTAGACTATCTTACTCGGTGATGTCAAGGCTTATTTCTGAGTGCATGAAGGTTAGTTTCAATGGGGCGTGATAAGTGCATAATTCAACTAATCGAACATGTCACTTGAGTCTCATATTTTGCTTTTTCCTTTCTTATTTTAGGTACAACATAACTAGGAAGATCTAATTGAAGTGAATAAACCAACGAACATGTAAGGCACAATAACACATATCTTTATAGAATTTTCTCCTACTCAGACTAGTGAAATGTAGATCACATCTCATACCTTCCTTGCCAATTTGGAATTTTTAGCGATTGTTTTCATAGAAAAATATGATTTTAGCGTTATATACCGGCATGTCTAAGATTCATCATATACTTTCGCTTTCACAGTAAAGAGAAGTTTAGTTAAATTTTTTGAATCTCAAACAAATATGCACATCGATCGATACATTAATTATAAATTTTTTCCCTTTTCTTGCTTTTCTGTTTTTCCTTTGGCATTTGTCATATTTATGAATGGTTTCCAATCATTAAAACTAGAATTCTAGTTTTAATTCCAAATTAATGGGATATCATCTTCATTTACCTTCATGAACTGGTTCGTCAGTCCCTTTCAGGCTTCTTTACCGAAAGTTTCTTTCTAAAAGTCCCTTCTTTCAAAAGCTTTAAGGATCACAAAGTTCTTATACCATGAAACCTTTACCTCATCCTAGAACTAAGTCATAGTTATACCATTATTTAGTGCAATGTATCTGCACTTATGTTAATATTCTACCAACACGTATAAAAATACTTGTTAAAAGCTGAAAAATAAGCCTACTTTGCTTAACAAAGTACCTTTTATTAATTTTCTAGAAAAAATATCTATTTTTTCATCTTTTTGGTGCTAAAAAAAGATCCAACCAGCAATGGTTATCTTAATGTTTGAGATTTGCTTGTTGAACGATCAATAGCCAAAACTCTAAAGGGCTGTTTGGTATATGGGTTTGGGAGGGGTTTGAATTGTGGGTTGGGGGGAATAAACCCCTTAAACTCATGTTTGATTCAAGTTTGAAAATCCAGCCTGTTAGATGACCCGGTCAT